AGGGCATGTTAATCGGGGAAACAAGATATCGGTCGAGCTTAGAGGCAAATCGTTTGTCCTGAATTTCCTGTTCCACCATTCTTCGGTATCTCGTTTCCAGGTTGGCTGGGACGAAAGACGCCTGCTTAGTCGTTGTAGCTTCTCAGAGCCCTGTTTTTAACTAGTGCATAATACTCGTACCAAAATTTCTGCTTTTCCAAAACTCCAGGCAGCCAGACGAATGCCTCTAAGTGACAGAGTACCATGTAGACTTTAGAACGCAAGAGAACACATTGCTCATAGAAACAGTTGTGTCGTTAGCTGAACTATGGTAGTTCTTGTTTTTCCAAGCAGGGAACGGACTATAAGATAAATTGACAATTTGATATATCACATAGATTATGTGACATTTTTTAAAGTAACCTCATATTTGAGGCTACCACTTTAAAAGAAAATCTGAAAACGAGCCTGAAGACTCAGCAGATTTTGCACAGAGTTCTTTATGATTACGGAAATTCGTTTCCTCAGAAGAAAATGATAAGTTTCATTCGACACCGCAGCGACTTCGATATTAGCCTCAGCTATGTATCCCTGCAACATCCTTCAGACAAGCAAATCTCGAACGTACATGTTTGTTAAATTTGTTTGTCTGTGCTGGAGCCAAAAAGTACTGCTCTTATGATCTGCTGATTAGTTTTGTTCTGTCAAGATAATATTATTTAATTTATTTTCCAATGCGAGATATAATATGACAACAGTCAAGAACCGTGAATACAGCCAGCCAACCCGCTGAACGTCACTGCATATTAGCACTGCCGGAAACTTTGCAATAAATCTCTATGATGGAAAATTGCATCAAGCTCTTGTGAAGAAAGTACCATTAAGCCTACCGTGTGCCAATTAAGAAAGTCAGCGGATTCCCAGCAAGTTGGATTGAGAGCATCAAAAAGACCATGCATTTCAGTGTCCCACAAGTTGTGGTAATGTTAATGTAGAAAGTTTCATCAGTACAAACATTTTCACTCCTAAGCATGGTGGTAATTTCATAACTTATTGTTATATTCCACCTCACAGCAAGAGCAATCAGAAAACAAACTATATTTTGAATTTGCATCTGCTATCTCTCTCTTTCGCACTTGAAAAGATCAATACTTTAACATCTGTGCTCTCTGCACAGAGGAAATGCTATGACGAACGTAGCTAATAGCATTCGAGAGAAATCTGCCCTGATAAGAAATTTTGTTGGTTGTCTTTTCATACCATGTGAGGCTTAAGTGCCAATCATAGTATTAGCCTTGGATAAGAAGGAGTGCTTCGAATGCCTCATGTATGCATGCAGTACCTACATTTGCCTTTTAGAACGGACATTCTACGGTGAAGAAGTAAATATATTGATTATCCACAGAACACTCGCATTTACCTGAGTTCCAGATGGTATATATTTAATGGAAGACCAAATATTTTGGAGCAGGTGAAAATTCAGGTCGAGATAATGGAGCTTTGAATAACTGTTTACCTGCATGAGCATTTATTGGTTTCGCCAAACACTCGGTCGGGTGCTATTAATAAGTCGAAGCGTAAAAGTTTGAGACATTTAAACAGGTAGCAGTTATTGAACTCTGAAGTTAAAAGTTACGAGTGTGATGGTAGAAACCTGGTGCGAACCAGTCACTCAATTACACAGGGCGACTGATAGCCTGAAAATCAGTTGTACTCTGACGACGTTACGAAACTCGTTGGTAGTACTAAAAGTATAAGCATGTGTGAAGTCTGGTGCCCTCAACAATGAATCGGTAGCGTATTGCAAGTTCATTAGCTGGCGCCGAATCCGAAAAACCGTACCATCTTATCTGTAAACTTGCTTTAGATTAGAAGTTTGTCAAAGAAAAATCAACATACTTTTGCGTACTATTGAATTGTGTCATATTCGTATTGACCGTATTGACGGTCAGATTACATAAACCAGGAAAATCGATTCGTATCAGAGCCCGTTTCTGAAACACTGCAACTTATGAAATTATAAGTGAACCAATAGCTGTGTCCGTCGTTACATCCGGACACACAGAGGCTATCGTAGAAGTTGAAGGAAATTTGATCATTTGAATATGAAATTATATAATTCGACGTGACCGCACTGCTTGACAACCTGGATGCTACATGAATAATGCACGACATTCCTCCTCGTGTAAAAGACAGTATCAACGAAGAAGGTAAGATTATGTCCTTTGAACAAACCTTCAGTGGAATATTTGCTTGTGGAATTTCAACTGGCTTTTGAAAGCGTG